TGTGTGTGTGTGTGTGTGTGTGTGTGTGTATGAGTGCGTCTGTCTGGTTATTTCAACTAGGCAAGCTCTGGCACCAAAATTTTGCCAATGGGTTGCCCGACCAATTGCCATCCCCAGGGTCGCAGTACCAACGCTCAAGCGCGTCCAGGTCCTGCATGCGAAAGCGTGGAGGCTTTGACGGGAAAATCGTTGTTCGGGAACCAGAAAAGCTAAAAAACTGAAATTTTGTGGTTATATCCCCCGTCCATATAGAACGTAAAGATTTCAGATTTAGCCCTCAAGCATACGTGGTTTTCACGTACGGCTTTGTTAAGGCTCCTGGCGGGAAAGTCGCTGACGTGGAAACCAGGAAGACTGAGAGACTGAAGTTTTAAGGGAATGTCCCCTGACCAAGTACCCTGCAGTTGCACAATTAAATTCCTTAACTTCGAAGACCAGTATGTCGTAAATTCTAGCTACTGTGACTCCAAGCTATATTACAACAGCACGAAACATTGCAAAAACACATGATCGCAAGGGCCCGTCCGATGCGCGTCGCCAGTGATTTCAGTAAGAAAAAAAACATAACAGTTTCCAAGTATGAAATATTTCCAACTCGTACGAAAGCTAGGCCCTATTGAATTGATTTCCTCATCAACGCCACTGCGAGTATGAACTGAAAGTTGTTCAGGATCATTTCCTCAAGCTTTTTTTCAGCCTAAGCTGTATCACCTAATAGCCAGCCATTTGGCGATCTTTATGCTTCTTCCATCTTCTGAAGAGATTACTGGATCAATGGCCTCACGATAGAACACCTTACCAGGGCATTACTCATCTGCAAAATTCAACAAGGCATGTTGGCTGCCACTATTCTGCTCCCAAGCGTAACACTCTCGCAACTCGCGCTAAAGATAATTTACTAACTTGAAGATGGTCTTCTCTCATGTTAAACAAGCTAAGCAGGGCTTTTTGATATAACTGTTCATATGTGAAAAAGTGCTCATCACCTAATATTTATAGTCGCATTTACGCTATAATGGTTTTTATCTGTCACAAAATCCACCATTTCATTTGAATTAGCGGTGGAGGATCATCGATATTAACTGGAGAGATACACACTGATTGGCACCACAGCAGGAACCATTGCTCAGTTCTAAGCTACCTCAGCTAGTGGCACTTCTTTAACTTTCATGGATATTTTGAAGAATCCATGAGGGTCGGTGTATAGTCCTGATGAATCATGCCCACGTTTAGGCGTTTTCCGATTCATATCATCCCAAATGTTTCTTGAACGTCACATTGCAAAAGGCTTTGTTTTATCGTACTTTTTCGAAATTAATAGCTTACATAAAATTCCTTTGACGCTTTGCAATTTTGAAAATAGTGTATCATCTTTGAACCATTAAGACTGCGTTCTAAATCCTCTAGGCCGTAGAATTTTTGTGGTAAAATGATGTACATGTTTATATTTTCATTGCCTTCATATGGCATCGCCAGCATTCGCACCTCATCATTCTCGAAAAATGGAAAATAGCCAAATGTTGACATTGTTGGTATCTGCAATTTTTCACTACATTAGTGCGCATAACCATAAGAACAGCAAAATTCTCAGCTTGCTGAGACCATATAAGATGTTGCTCCAAAGTAGAAAGAAAGTAAAATCCGATGAGCAGGACCTACTGCTTGCGCTGCTGACAAACGGTAGGCGCCACACGTGGGTGTGTGTGCATTCCGAGTTAATATCAGTGAGTGTGCATTCCGAAGCATTCCTAGTCTTCGGAAAGTACTCCGATACATCAGGCAGACAGCAGCTGCTTCTATATACTCAGATATGCATTACCTCGATCTGTCGGTGCGGAGCAACATGGAACTTTTTGGGTATTGTCCAGTCTTTGTCGAATTTTTTCTTCAATGCACCTTTGAAATACACTGCATTGAGCAACATCAGTTTTGAGTTGGTTGAAATCTCGCTTGCTTTGATAACTGAGGTGATCATTTCATGGGTCACCTGGCTCACCCAATGATTTGCTTCCTAAAACAGTGCTATCGCTTCATTTGCGACAGATTATTTGGAACGTCACTGTGGGGGATTACCAGTTTTTGGTGTTTTTAAAACTGTACCTAAGTTTTTTTTCGGAAAACCAAGAAATGTGCGACGCAAATTTTCAGCAACTTTTAAACTACACATTACAGGTTTTAGTTTGTGATTGACAATGAGGTTAACAATCTTATTGTGATTAACAATCTTAAATAATCCA